TATATCTGGACGTGGAAAGTCCATGACCAAAACGTCAATATGTGACAGAGGTCGGAGTGAGAACGTGTTGTTCTGTCAGCGCTTTGGTCACGTGATAGCAGCCTTCCTGACTATGTGGGTCACATACAAATTGCAGGCTCATGATTACATACGAATTGTGCTGCCTTACTTTTAGGTATACATACAAACTGCATAAAAACAGCCTGCAAAATTACCTCCAGTGGTCACTATCCTGCTCATTTAAACCAGATACCCATGTAAGAGGCGTGTACACACTGCCACGTTCATTTTTATATTTCCTCTAAATAGTGCCAATCTGCCACAACAGACAGGCGCTGTGTGAAAAGATTTTAAAATGCGACTCCAGCACTTTCAAGGCAGGTCCTCTGTGTTAACAAGATGGTAGTTAATGGTTTTGCTTTTATGGCGGTGGTCGCATGTATAATTAAGCTGCTGTTGTATTTGTCATAAAAATCACCGGGGGTGCAGGAAATGTTGCAGGAGCCATTTTTTACTTTGAGCAGTGGAAAATTAAAACCGTCAAACCTCACAATGTTGTTTTGACATCATTCCAATGTTTATGGATTTTCCTGTGTGTGGTTGAGGTTTCGGTATTAAAAAAACACTTAAGTGCCTCACCTTGTGTTGGGGGAACAAAGGTTGCAATGTTTGCACAATGCAGATTGTCACTTCTGGGAGGTCTTGCCTCCGGTGCTACTTGTTGAGAAACATGTTGCATGTCTGCCATTAATGGATGTTTGGCTGTTACCTGCATTGTTCCCGAATCATACAGTTCATGTGACAATATGTGATGCATTTATGGTACAACAATTCATAACTGCATCATACTGGGGGATTTTGTCCCCTAGCATGTCATGGGTATAATGCCAGACCAACACTTAGAAATGGGAGGGCAATCCTCTTGAAACAGGTTTTGCAAACCCCACTGATAACCTCTTACCCCAGATATCACCACATCTCGAGCAGATGTGCATTCATGCACGCAAGAGTCAAGGACAGAAACACTGAACTCTGAAGGAGCGTCACCAAGATTTTTAAGGTGTGTTTCATTTCTGCGTTTGGGGACAACTGAAGCAGTATTAGGAAAGAATACAAGGATTACTGAAACTTAAGGTGGCAGCTTGTTGGCAGAAAGTCATGCACTACAGACAAATCTTAGATAAGCCTGATGTATGATTTACTTGCATGGCCCCAGTCATATCTATGGAGATGAGCTGGGGGTGTCGTGGCCCTGGTGTCACCTCTACAACACCAGTCCCCTGCTAGGCTGATGACTGTATCTATGCTAATATGGGGATCAGTAGGGTAGAAAGCTCATCTGGCTCGTGCTTTCGCTTTATCTTATCACTCTCCTCGCCTGCTCCTTTCTTCACTGCACCACCACATACCTGGCATGCTGCGCACATGAAAAGAGTGCAGCCTCTTCTCACTCTCCCTCCATCTCTCACCTTCACACTTTTCCTCTATTTCACATTTCTACTTTTCAACTTTTGCTTTCACTGCATCAACTTCTGCAAAGCTTTATTAAATTATCACCCACTGCTGCCTTACTGTATTACTGTATGTGCTAGACCCGGCATTGAAATCACAGGAAGGGCTCAATGAGATTTATTCAGTTTATTTCATTTCCTGACATCCTGACAAAATTTTAAAAAAAGCTTTCATTAGCTTTTCTTTGAGGGCATCATCAGTACGAACTAACAAACCAAGCAGTCAAATCAAAAGAACATCCTGAAAAGTTGTCATGCCTTCCACATCATTTTTTGGTCAAGAGTGGGCCCAACCAGACAGTAAATCCTGTCTGACTTAAATAACCTCCCCGCCTCATCCCTCTTAGCCTCTTTGTCTCCATCACGCTCTCCCTCCCTGGCATGATTATTTCTTATCATGTATTTATTTGTTTAATCCACCCCTCCCCCCACAACACTTGGCGGCCCTCTCACTATGCACGAGCTGCCTGTCTGGCAACGAGGCCCCCTCGTCCCCCCACCTCCTCCTACTTGTCCATATCCAGTCCCCATCCCATCCCCACCCAGCTCCAGCCCAGCCACAATGGGCGGATGTTGCTTCCAGAGCCTCGGAGCTTCATTCGGGGGGAAGAGACCCCCACCTTCTCACTTCATCCTTGCATCCCTCCCACTTGCATGTGGCCACCACTAGCCAGCCTCTATGCACACTATAAATAATGGATGCATTAGCATGCATGAATATCTTTTTAGAAGGGGGGTGGGAGTGCCTTAATTCATTATTAATCCCCTTCAAGGAAAAATGGGCCGTGACTCCGGAAGAGATGGGCCCCTACTAAACCCTGCTTTGGGGACTTTACTTGTCCATGATGTACTCTTCTTTCTCCCAAAATTGGTGACCAGCTCCACCCACCCAACTACGCTGCCCCCTCTTTATCAAAGCTCCTCCCTCTGCCCACTCAATCTCTGCAAAAACACATCTGGAAGGGTGGGGTAATCTGTCATTTTTTTAGAGGGGGGGTTGGGGGGAAAGTGTGATCCTAGGCCGAACATCTCCAAAAACAGGCGAGTGTCAGCTGGTTGATTGACACCACTGTACAGTCAGCTGGTGTGGTTGTACTTCCCTAATATTCCACAGCAATGGCAAAGGGATGTTTCGGTTTGAAGGTTGGGTAGTCACACAGCTCCTGACTTTGAAGTTGTCATCAGTGCCATTTGGTTCAAGAGCAGGACTTGGCTGCGGGAGGATGGAAGTATGAGCAGGGAGGGAGAGGGTGCAAGGTGGAGGAGCTAGGAGGGTGGGCTGACATAACAAATGCGTACAAACCTGGTTAGAGAGCATTAAGTCGTGTATGTGGGTGGGTTGTGGGGAATTATCTGGTATTTTTAAACCTGGAACACCACGTTGAGTATTGGGGACATTAGATCAAATACATGGGTTAGAGGTTAAGAGCATGTGTTTCAAAGAGATAAATTACTATACAGCAAATTAACAAAACGTGGGTTTGATTGCGAGTGTGTGTTTGCGCATCGGTGTGTTTCTATGGGCGAAAGGAAGTGTGTGTATATGTGAGTGTATCCATGTGATCCGAAGTGCACTCCCCTCTGCACCACACGCCCCTCTTCCACCACTAGGTCGCACTGCCTGCCTCGCAGCCTCTCCTCCTGGTTGCCACAGCCCTCTGACTAATCCAACCAATGGCAGACCTTTACAACAGAGCCACATGAGAGCGGCTTCCTATCAAAAAATACTACACTACACACATGCCATGTATACTTGTGTACAGGCTGCATGCACCGTACACAGTCTTACACATACTGGATATCTGCCCGCCTTACTCATATTGGTACAATGTACATAATCCTGTTTGTTTGAATCACCGTGGCATATAAATATAACTAATCCACATAAAGTCAAACACAGCGTCATTATCCATGTGTTTGTAGTACAGTATGTGTATGTTTTTCTTTCAGAATATTGTCACAGTATATAAAAAAAGGAGGAAATAAAAAAGGTGCATGTTATCGCAAAAAAAAAATTGAATATTTTCTTTTAAGTATTTTATTTTATTAAGTATTTTATACAAAGAATTGTAAGCTCCAGTAAAAGCTAGTAAGAGGACCTGGAGTATGGATTTATTTAGATTAGTTATTTATATTTATGTCAAACTGTTGTTTTGAAGGATAAGAATGAACGTTCACACCCAACTAATACATTTAATACCAAAACATTCTTGTTTGGTGTTTCAGTAATTCAGAAGTGGCAGTTAAAATTACAATATTAACCAAGTGAGTCCACAGCCATCACATAAAGCATAAATTGTTCAAGGTTAAATAGTTGGGTGGGAATTTATAGGACCTACCAAATGTTTTTGTGACTGACTCCAAATATTCAAAAAATATTTAGCAGCTTGACTTTTACAATTTTCCAAAAAATACTTGTAATTCAGAATTTATTCTTTCCCAGAAGCCTTTGAAACCGTTCATATCTGCAGAGAGTAGCACAACAGGCCAGCACCAGGGCAACATGGGCCTGACCCTGCAGACAGGATATTCACTTTTGAATAAAACCAGCTCTTCTCTCTGTTATGTTGCACTCTCAGAGGCTGCTGGGTCTCCCGTCAGTGTCCTCTACACCGCTGTCCGTCAGGCAGGACGATGGCAGCAGGGGTTGTTTTGTTGACACAGTGAGGACCTGGTTTCTGGAATGTTCTCGGCCGAATGTTTGGATCTCGGGTCTTCGGCGCGAGGCTGGGGGGCTGGTTGTGAGCTGGAGGCACCACACTGTGCCTCTGAACTTCATTCAACCCCTTAAATTCCTCTTCCTGGGCAGGAAATTGAAATATTGTGCAGTATTGGCATGCTGATGGTCATCTATCATGGGGGCCTGCGAGGGGGACGTGGGTAAGAGGAGACTGTCTGTAGATCAGAGATGGGCTGCTGGGCCCAGGTTCAAAGGTAAAGAGGAGCGACCTGGGCGAGGAAAGAGGATAGCGCTCTTAGCAGGAGACGATTCTCAGAGTGGCTTCCATCACCCATCCTGCAGATCACCTCAGTGTGCCTAGCTCTCATCAGACAAGAGCAATCAGTCTTCCCCAGGCATCCAAAGCAGAAATGTGTGTGCTCATTATGACTCTTCCAGGTTATTTTGAATGTGTTTCAAACAACATTCATGCTTCTCAAAGCAATGTGTCTTAGAGCTTAAATACAGAGGTGATGAATAAAGTCCAAACAGGCCGTGAGCTCATTTTAAACACAACAAGCAGGAAACTTGAATTTACCTTCATGAGTCTTTTTCAAAATCATTTTAATTTAACTTCAACAGGTGTCCCGTGACTTTGTGCTAAACTATAGCTGATAGAAAGCCATATGTGTTTATCGTGTTCACACCGGCTGTGATGCATAGTCAAAACAGCCATAGTGATGATGCCGCCTTCATCGTTGCATAACCGTGGCCGTAAATGCGCACAGCGTACCAGGAAATGAAACTCGCCGGCGCATCACAGGGGGGTAGGATGATGTGGATGTGACTGGTTATATAAAAGTATAGGGCACAGTTGGAATGAGCCAGATGGGATGATGGCTGTCATTTTAAAGACTAACGCGCTTCTTGTCTGCCTCCGGAAATCTCGCCTCTGCATGACCTTGTGAACTCGCCTGCCGCGTGACCTCGAAATTTCCCTCTAACGGCTCCCCGAACACCCCTCCACATCCTTGTGCTCATTTGTACAGGCTATTACCCAAGCAGGAAGTGACATCAACGGGTCCAAACTAAAAATATGTCGCAGGACGGGCTGTCTAGGATGTCCAGGACCGGTGTTTGTGCAGGAGGATGGCTCGCACCGGCTCCACAAAGTGATGCTCACTGAAGGATGCAGGAGAGCGCCACACAGGCGAGACAGACAGACGCACTGGAGGCTGAGTGAGTCGCCTGCTGACTGAGTGCTGTAATGCCGTCACTTTCATTCATGCAAGTTCAGATATGGTGCCATACTTTGCCCCTCTCTGAAGCCGGTGACGCAGTTCATGGCAGAGGCGATAAGACTTGTTGTGTGAATGAAGGAATTGTGTCGGTGTCGCTCTAGTGAGACGGTGTGAGGTGTGTGTCTGTGTGTGAGTTGTGTGTGCGATGGAACAGAAACCACCACTGTTTTGACTTGAATAGCAAGTGCAAGAGGGAGGAGTGAAATCCGTGCGGGGCTGGTCGGTCTGTGCGCTTTTGCGCATTTTGACCCAATAAACAGATTGTTTAAAGGCTGATTTGTGATGATGGGTGAACATTAATAAAAACAATAGGTTGTGGTGAAGTTTACCAAGTTGGGTATGTACCGTGTAGCTTTGTAAGCGTCCTCTCAAAGCATGAATGGCGTCTATTTTTATCCGTCCAGTGCGTGTGTGTCGTCCTCACCAGGGAGGCTCTGACAGACCCTGCCGTGCGTCCAGACGGAAAGTGCTGCAGTCACGTGGTGTCTGCTATTATCCACCCTCACGTCAGGTACAGCCTACTGCTGTGAGGAGGCAGCGTGAGGGAGGGTTTTGTTCCTCAATTAAAGCCTAGAAATATGTTTAGGAAATTGTGGGCAAATTAAATAAAATGTTATACCATGATAACAATATGATTTGAAAGAAATTAAAAAAAATGTATAATACAAATAGCAATGTAATATCCACAGTGATAATCCAAATACTGCAAAAAAGAAAATATTTTTATTGCTGAATATACAACACTAGGCAACACTACACCTGACCGCACATAGAGTCTACGACCCCACTACCTTTAAAGTCTCGATTCATAATTCCAGCTTCGATGTCTCATTATAAAATAACCTGCCTGTCAAAGAAAGACGGACAGATGGATATTATTTTTGAAGATGATGAACAGGGAGCCTCCATCAGCTCACCACCTGCTGTCCTGACTGCCAGGACATAGCCTGACATGAGGTGGGAAGGTCACAGCTTGCCATAGAGATAATAATTTATGATAATACACAGACACACCGTCAACTATATCTAGCAATCACCTTGTGTCAAATTAATAGAGTGCTGCAGGGATGAGTGCTAAAACCTGGGAATGAGTTAGCATTTTAGCACTCCTGGTTCACTCGTCTCGAAGTCGATGGGTTTTTGGTTAGATGCCTGAAAGAAGGTCTGTGGTTGTGATGAAATACGTCAGTAAATACCCCACTCGAGAATTTTTTTTTACGTGTCTTATAAAAGATGGTTGCTAAGAAGCGGCTAAATGAGACTACACGTTGAACCGTGCCAAACACGGCTTTACAGCCTCATTGTGGTCCCGACGGTGAAGTCATGTGAATGTGGTGTAGTTCATTTATAGCCTAAGGTTGACTTACACTTATGCCGATTACATCTAAGATTCAAAAATGATAAAAGTGGTGTCCAATTGAGAAAAATATCTTGCTAAACAAGAGCTTATTTTTTTGCAGTAATCCAAAATCCAATGGAAAAATACCATTGGTTTTTTGACGAGAGAAGCAGGGTGATGTTAACTGCTGTACTGGCCCACAAATGAATATCCTCCCTGCAGCACTCTATGTCAGTGCTAGGCTACTGACAGGTGTTACCTTTCTCCCTATACTCCACATTTTCAGATAACCAGCTTAAATGTAACAGTTGAACTAAAACTTTGATGCAATCAAAAATAAATTTATATGTTTCACCAGATATATTGTGTCAATGTACTCCAGTATTCCAGTATCTACTGTTGTTTCAGCTCACTGTATTTGGCACCCTGCTCCCCCCTCCCCTGGTTGTTATATATGTACATACATTGGTTTTCAATGTTGCTGTATATCCAGTTGCTGGAGAAGTTGATGTCCTACAATACAACCATGCTACATGTCAGAGCTGACTGCTGTCTGCAAGGATAGCAACAAACGAATCTCTGTTTGTGTAGGCTGCGAGTATAAAGCACGCTGTTACTTGAAGTAGTTTCCAATGGCACTTGTGCAAAAACAGCGTGGAATGGGGCCATGACTACGTCTTTGCACCTGGGCCCCTTGGCTTTTTTATGTCAGTGAATTGTCCTTTTTTAAGATGTTCGCAAAGCTAAGTTGAGGACCTTACATTCAAGATGTTTAATTGGCTCTAAACGAGTGTTCTGCAATGTGAAATAATGTATGAGCTGTACAGTGCAGTGCTGCTACTGTATACGTTTGGCACGTGTGTGCAGCAGCCTATGGGATTACTGGTGTATATAACTCACGCTGCTGTTGCCTGCCTGTCTGGAGTGATAGCTTCATTATTCATGGTTGCGTGTAGACAGTAGTGCTTAATCTCCGAGTTGAATGGGGCAGCTTGTGACTCTGGAAGTAAATGCTTGTGCTCGGTCAGCCCTATCTGGCCCTTGTTGAGGAATGGAGGGCTACCAGAAAGAGGGAGGACTGCTGAGCTGGCCCTCAGGGTGGCAACAGCAGCTAAACGCCCCGTTCAGTCGTGGCGTTTGGGGCCAGTTTGAGGCCAGTAGCAATTAGCCAGACTGGACCAGGGAGCAGGGCCATATATTCTCTGTGGTGAAAGGGTCTGAGCAGGGGGTCTATTGGCGCTCGACAGGTGCAGCGGGAGGAAGGCGTCAGGAGTGTAGGGAATCGAAACCAGAGATGAGGCCAAAAGGCAGCGTCTCTGGCTTCTGGGGTCAGATGCTCCCTTTCACCCCTGGAGGCTCCAAAACACAGCGAGAGCCTCTTCCTGCCCTGACATTGTATGGTTGTGAATGTATGTGCATTAGTGCATGTGTGCATGGTTATCTTTGTGCGTGTACAGGCATGTGTGCTTAAACGTGTGGATGTATGGGGTGTTTTATGGGTGTGTGACACCAGGGCGAGAAGATCAGGGGGCCATGTTTTGAGTTGCGGTAATCATCTGTCTTAGTTTATCTAACTCACACTCACACAAAGAACACTGGGAACACTTTTTGTTAAAACACCCATATGTCCACTACTATTATACAACAGTCCATGAGGAGCTTTGATCACTCAGCTGTGAGGGTGGTGGTGAAAAAAAATCCTGCCATGATGTGTTTTGACATGTTTTTGATGCCAAAAGTTGTAGCATTGATTCTGCCGTGCAATTACATCGAAGAATAATCTGGACTCTTCTGTGCTGCTAAGGGGACACATGAGTCGTTGCACTGGCCATTAGAGAAGGAGGAAAAGCAGTGTTGCCGACCATGTCATTTTTTTCTTGCTTCCTGGCTGTTCTGCTTGAACTCAATAATCCTGGATACAGCCATTACAAATCCTGCTGTCTTGACTTGAGACCCCAGACAGGAGGCAGGCTCTGCAACTTGGTTTCATTTAGCATTCCTCTGGGCTTTACGGGCAGGTGTTTAACATTACTGGCAGGATATTTATTGGCAACTTTAAAGGCAACTTTTTTGCTTACCTCTCAATTAGGCACACACACATACAATGTGTGTACTGTAGATGCGAGCGCACATGTACACGCACGCAGAAAAACGCATACAGCGACGTTTTATACACGCAACAATCTAAGATTGACAGCATGGATGCTTAATGGAGCACATTTTCACTCCTTTTTCCAACACTGTCACACACTTTATGCCTTTTGAGGCACAGATCCACATCCTTAGAATCCACCCCTGACCCGTGACCATCTCTATCTCCCTGTATGCACCCCCCTTCCCCTCCACCCATTATGCCAGGTCAGTGTATGATGTGGGGTAGAAATAGGGTTGGAGGCATGATGGGATGTGTGGCCTGTAATTACCGAAGCTTAGCAGGGCCAGTGGCTGTGATGTGCAATTCTCAAATCAAGGTGCAGCCTGAAGACTCAGCCGGCCCCACTGCTGCCCTCTGCTACTTGATTGCTGGCAGCTGGGTGAGCCATGTCAAGTGGCAGGCTGGGAAATGTGAAATCCCAGATAAAGCACAGAGCCCTAAAAAGCCATGAAGCTCCAGTAATGAGGAAAGTGATGGGGTTTGGGGTTTGGGCATGCTTAGCAGGCAGGTAGCAGCCAACAGTAACTCTTTCTACCTCTCTCTCTCTCTTCTTGGTGTGCCTGTATGTGAGAAAGAGATGAGAGGTGGAGGTGTTTGTATATTTGACTTTTCTAATCCTGGATTTAGAAGGATCCACCAAACTCCAACAATGCAGAACTGGTGGGTAGGTCAGCACAGCTCAAGATATACCCACCCTAAATCCTCCCGGGTCACCCTCAGACATAAATCATAAACCTACTGTACATCCTGCCTATGCTTCTCATGTTTTCCCAGGGCCAGCTCCTTTGAACATCATGTTAAAACCCCTGTAACGTTCCCTGCCCGAGAGCAGCAGAATAATGCCTGATATTAACGGCGGCAGTCCGATTTAGAACGATTCCGGAGCCGTTGTAGCAGTTAAACACATTCCTAGTTTTGTGGAGGCCATTATTCCTGCTTCTTAATCACCCCCTTGGCTTTTATAACCTCCCCAAGCCTTAGTGTGTGGCTGGGGGGGAACCACATGTGGGAAGAGACCAGGAAATAACCACACCGCCAGGCCCTCCCCTTATCTAAACTAACCACCACTAAAATGCTCATGACACCAGCGCATATATCATCTCTTTTTTAAGTTTTTAAAATAACTATGTTACTAAAAATGTTATTCTGTAATGCTGGAAACCCATTTTCATAGACCAAAACCTACAACAATATGTCAGTCTGTCTCTCTGGCTCCTAGTCTTAAGCCCATTCAATCCTACTGGTGATGTACTGTAAATCTTTCAACAAGATTCTCAAATATATAGTTTTACTTTTACAAAAAAGGGCTAAAAAAATTCAGTTTCAACAGTTTCAGCAAACCTTGTTCAAACAAAAGGAAACTGAATTTTTGGGGAACTATTTTCAGCCATAGGTTAACACACATTTGGTGCACGTGTCAGTATTTATAGCAGCAGGATGGCATGCATGGGACTCCAAATAAAAACTACAGTGTCCATATTCACTGTCATGCCGAAAACGCATCTATTGCGACCTGCAGCAGGAGGTCATACAATGTCCATGGAACTTTGTGGCAGTTTGATTCTGCTGCACAGTGTGGCCAAACTAAATGTTAGGGATAGTTTAAATTTTGGCGGCGAATTGCAGCCACATAATACCCATAGCCAATCAGTTAACAGAGTCCTGTAACTCCTGTGACATGTTGACCCGTGTTACAAAGACTTTGTTCCTGCCTGAAACACACGAACATGCCACCCAGCTGCAGAAAAATGTAGTTACTGCAGCAAGCCGCAGTTCACTGCTGCTTAATTTGTTTTTTAGCGTAACCATGGCACATGTAACCCAGTGCAGTGGTGGGACTCTGATGTGCTTTTAATAGTTTTTGGGCAACACTGGAGGTCTTCATGGCACAGAGGAATGAGATGTATCAGGATCTGGCTGCACAGAAAACTATACTTAGTGGGATTAGTAATCATTTTTGTTTTAAATGAGATTTATTAACATTAAGAAATAAGAAAAATATGAATTTGAACTGTAAAATTTGCAGCAGTAGGTTTCAAGGAGGATGTAGAGGACACATCCCGCTCAATATTTAGAACACGTGCATTCGCCTCCCTCAATAAAAACATGAAAGTACCAGGAAACGAAAATAAAGACATTTCCACCATAAATTGGTGCAGAAAAGACACAAATTGGTTAATTAGGAAATAACCAGAATGCAGGATATTAAGCATTTGATGCTCAAAATTTACTGGCAGAGGACCCCCACATCCCCCGCTTCATATGTGTTTCCCCCTGTGTTAAAATTAAACCTATGCCCTTGGCTAAATAAAAAGATGTGAGCTCCTCCTGAAACATATTGGTCTGTGGCCTCATGTAACAGAGAGCAGGAGGAAAACAGTCTGGAGCAAAGTAGACCTCACTGTTTCACTGCTGTCATCCATCGCTCTCCCTACCTGCTCCCACGTTTTCAGAGCTAGAGAAGACGGAGAGGTGTGATTAGGCTACACTGATTTTTTTTGTCACGTAGCTGTTGTTCTTAGTGGATTTTAATGCAGCTAGCCTTTAGCCTCTAGCTTGTATTTGTCAGTATGTGTAAAGTGGCTTGTCTGACTGATGGTTCAGCTATAGTTAACCGAAACACCTGGGTGCTCACACACCAAGCAGCTCAATGTAACGGGTGACACGCTGTCACGCCAGGCTTGAAGGCATAATTTACCCAGGTCACAGCCATGCATACTATTTAGCAGGGTGGGAATTGGAGGGGGGCACATAGAAAGTCATTGCTTGTTTACCCTGCGCCTGGTGACCCCCTGCCAGCAGCTACATCAATTATCACCTTGGAGGAATGTGGGACCCTTGTGTTAAATTCCCTTTGACCCCCCTGTTGGAGGAGGTCAGGAGGTGGGCGCTCTCCCCAGGGGGGGCATGCAGTCAGTGGGTGCAGGGTGTGTGTTCATGTCTGTGTGGTGGTCCAGGGAGATTCCCTTGATCTGCATCCTCAGACCTGCAACCATCACCGTGCCTTCAGACCCCCAACATGGTAAACAAGATTTGCGTGGTGTGTTTACAATGCAGATTGGTTTCTAAAGATCTTAATTTCACCAGGGGATGCACCAAAGGTGGTCTGGGAGCATGTACAGGAGACCCGGGTTTCATGTATGATAGAGGGTTCAAGGAAAAGTTGGCTAACTCTAAGACTTCTCCTCGTAGTTTGAGTGTATTATGTGAAAAAACAACAACTGTTATTTGGTGCACAAGCTTTTAACAACTACTTTTTGCCTCACTATTACATTTAGGGGTGCCTCAATAAATTAGCCCAACTGCTGGCACACTTTGAAGACCTCAGCATTTGTGATTTTAATGTGTTTGTTTGTCTCAAGCTGTTTTTAGTACACAAGTGTAAATCACAACTTTACAAGTCAGTGTAGCGCACCGTAAAGGCTGGCGGTTAATGTGCATGTGTGTGCGTGAGCGAGAGAGAGTAAGTGAAAAAGGAAAACGAAGAGAGGGTTTAGTCATAGATGTAACGTCTGACGCTCTTTACTTTAGAGGGGAATTAGATGTAAACATATGACATGTTTGGGCGCAGGCATCAACCCCAGACACACACGTCTTTTTTTCCCCCTCCATCTTCCTGTGCCCCATATCAAATGTCTTCGTGAGTGTGAAGAAAGTCGTTGGGAAATAGTATCATATGTGCTGTAGGGAGTGAAGATACCATGGAAATCGATTGTGTATGGAATCACTTTTTTCTGACCATGATTGATGCTCCGAGCTTATGCATTTTTATCTTCTCTCTTACAGGCTCTCTATCATGGCTGTCTGCAGGATGTGGTGCTGTCTGCTATCCAGTTATGGCTGAGGTAAAATACCAACATCAGGAGCTTGTCTGCCGTAGATGACAGTGTTGACATAATATATTGGCGCAGTTTCTCGTGTGATGTATTGCTAAAACTGCAGTTCCTGTGTTGTAATGGCTTCAAAGTCAGCGGGGGAAGTAAGTGTCTGCCTGAAACGTCTCGCCCGATTTTAACCTCAGTTACCCCGGGAACGGCAACTGCGCTCTGTCCTGAGTCGTCTGCGTTAAGCTGTGCATTGATTAACTCCTCCTTGAAAGCAGCCACCCTTGAAATGCGATGGCCTTTACACGTTGTGACAAACCAAAGTATCCCCGCAGTGTCATCAGATCACCTCGCCACATCCAATTAGCGGTCATCTCGGAGCCTTTTTTCACCTTGTTGACAGGACGGAAAAGCTGCAGCAGGACAGACCAGCGGCCTAGCCCTGTCCTGAAGACCCAACACTCTCATCATTTATTTATCCACACGCAGGCAGACACAACATCACATGCCCATCCTGTGGCAGGACCAACAGCTGCCAGCTAGAAGAGGGTATTACAGGGGTGGGGTGGGGCAAGGTAGAACAACGGAGGCCAACACACACACACACACACACACACATACAAGGCACAATCAGGACATCATCTGCACCATCTTGTCAGTAGTTGAACTTCTTCAGGGTTGTCATGGCGACGTAATTTTCTCCTCCAGAGGGCTGTTGTTCTCTGTTTCAAATTGCACTGTAATGCTGGTGGTGGTTGGAAGTAAAGGGAGGAGGGGGGGGTGCACTTGACTGTACTCTGATAAGGAATTCTTTGAGGAGAAGGCTATGATGTACTGAACTTGAGAAAGCCTTTTGATCTCAGTTTGTATGCTAATGAATCTAGTCTTATGTATGCATTGTAAAGCAACTCTTTGCCTTTGTTTATTTAGATGTGTGGAGCCTTTATCCTTCAGACATTATTGTGTCATTTGCATTACCCTCATTCCAAAGATAATTGCAGCGGTTGCGGGGTTTCTTATAATTTGCTCATGTTGTGTGCGTGTGTGTGTGTGTGTGTGTGTGTGTGTGTGTGTGTGTAGGGGCAGACACAGCCAAACTCCTAACTGTGTTTTTTTGGCCTGTTTGATAGCCTGACTGTAAGCCCCTCTGGCTTTGCAGACTTCTGTCTCCCTCAGCACACTCGCTGCCGCAGCACTCATCCACAAGCAACACACTCATTCACACGCGCTTTCGCATGACTACACAAATGCACAAACAGGACTTCAGCCCCGACTGGCTCACGCACACAAAACACACTCGCTTACTCACTCAGGAATTATCGTGGTAGTAAAACTAGAGAGGAAGAGTGAGAGAGACAACGAGGGAGGAAGAGGGACAGAGAGAGGGAGGGAAAAGGAGAGCGATTGTCCCAACAGAAGTATTTTATCCCCAAGCGGTTTTTAAACGCTGCCATGTCCATGACCCAGTCATGAGGACAAGCCATTGTTAGCTGCCACGGCTGCTGTAGCAAGGCCGGTGCAATAAATGAAAGTTGCAGGATTTAAAGTGAAGACATGCATTTTTTTATGCAAAGTCTGTTCTGCACATACACTGATAACAACAAAATTATAGGTTTGTTGTTTGTGTTGCAGGTGTGCAATGTCACTGTTTTTACTTTTAGTGGCTGTTTAAAGGTATACTATGGAGGATTGACGCTCACCAGCTAACGTCAAATAAAAGACAGCCCCAGATTCACTCTTATTTGGTGTTTTGCGAGCCCAGTCTCACTCCGAAGTCGCCAAAATCCAGCGCTTTGGGAATGACTTGTGGCGTCAGAAACTAACGAAAAAAGGCGTCCTTTAACGACGGCATGATACGCGGCTGGTTGCCATTATAGTTTAACGGTGCCCGGCGGCGTCAGGGGAAAACGTGGCAAGACAAGGATGAAAGTTAAGGCAGTGAAAGGGGTGGATGGGTCTGATAAGATTCTAAAGCGAAACCTTGTTATTTTTTCCTAAACTTAACCACGTGTTTTTGTTAAGTTTTTTTTGTTAATAAACGTCAATTCGCGGTGTTGAACCGACATAATAAGTTTATTTTGTAAGAGACAGTATGTAAACGGTACATTTCCTGTGAAAACAGAAGTGTATTTTGAAAGAAGACGATGCATGTAACAGGCAGAACTTGACACGGCGTCCCAGAACGTCAGCAACCAATGCACCCAGGGTACCTTGCACCTCGTATGCAGACGTGGAGAATGTGTTGGTTTTGCCTTGACTATATTTGCCTTTTTTCGACGCTGTGTCTCTTAACTGCCTGCTGCTTACAGTCTGGCCCCTGGTCACTACCTGTTCATAAAGCCTCAACCTCACCTGAGCCATGTGGGAGTACACGCCCACAAACATCCTGAACACAGAAAGTATGAAGAAAATAAGAACATACAAGCAGAGGGCAGAGTCTCTGCAGATAAATACACAGCAGAACATTTCTAGCAGGTCAAAAGGGATGATTGAGAGGGATTACTTCTGTATGAGTCTATACATTGTTTTTTTAGGAGAATCCTGCATAGTACATCTTTAAAGGCTGCACAGCTTCGCAGCTTACTCATGTTGTGCTTTGAAGGATGTGACAGACGTGTTCTGGAGCGTGTTGTTCTGCTGCTCTCACTTTTTTCTCTCTCTGTCTGTACTTCTCTTACTCTGGCTGTGTGTATATGAGTGTGTGCGTGTGGATATGTGTGTGTGTGTGTGTGTGTGCGTGTGTGTGTGTGTGTGTGTTAGTGTGTGTGCGTGTGTTCTCTCTGGTCCGCTGCTTTGGCACAAAAAGGAAGGCCAGGCCGCCCCATTCTTTGTTTTGCTTCTTGTAGGAAACTAGCAGCAAATTGTGGCTCAATGAGGCGTTGCTGTTTTGTATGGTCTGATAAAGTGCAAACGAAACCGTCTGGGCCGCACTGGCCTGCTGCAGTGTTTTTCATTGTAGCTGTGAATGTAGGTCTGTGTGATGCTTGGTTAGTGTTGAACATTGGGTGATTGGGAAGGAGGTGGGGGGGCTGCTGCTGGGGGTAGGGACCATTCACACAGTTTTAAGATGTCACCCTGTGTTTGGAGCTGCTGTCCGCTGTGTTTAATTGTGATGAGGGATGATTAGAGCTCTGCTTAAGACTGGAGGAGAGTTTTCTGTCTTGCTTGCTTTCAAAGGTTTTAAAATCCCAATATTGTAGAGTTCTCTGACAGCGCCAACATGACACACTTGTCAAAGTGATCAGAGCAGGGCATATGTGTGTGGGTGTATTGATGTTCATGTGGGAAATAGCCCAGTTTTTACTTCAATGCATTCATCCAACACCTGCAGTAACTACTCACGCTGGAAATGAAAAGGGTGACTCACTGAATATGCAATAATTTCATGAAGATTTTGTACTCCTAGAATTTGAGTAAGCCAAGCTGGAAGCAAACAACTACTTGAATGTGACCTTAAGAGTTCATTTGATCGCGGAGTGAAACATTCCTGAGCAGTGAAGTATGGAAATATTATCAAATAGTGTGTACTTGTACTTTTTAAGAAAAAATGTTGTGCATTGGATTACAAATTAAGTATACTTTTACTTAAAGGTATACTGTGCAGGATTTTCCTTAAAAACAATGTACAGATGAAAGTAATCCCTCTCAATCATCACGTATTACCCACTAGAAGTGTGAGATGGTGTATTTATCTGCACAGACTCTGCCTCCTGCCTGTATTTTCTTATTCACAGGTCAGGACTTTATAAAAAGCAGTTGCCAGAATAAAATGTTTGCATTGTACCTTTGTGCAAACTACAAATATGTTACATTTGCATGTTTCATATGTATTATATCAACTATCTAAACTGACGCAACAGATAAGCTGAGTTTTTTCATCAGGAGGTAGAGGGAACAGTACCTGTGTGTTTTTCACTGACACATTGTGGTGTTTCCCAGCAGCGTTCGAGCCACCGAACTTTGGTGTTTTAAGCCAAGACGTGATCTTTTTCGAACCACAACCAAGTGATTTTGGTGATTTTTAGTGTTGCTGAGAAACAATAAGTTTCAGTGTATCAGCTATGAAATAATGTATAAATGTAATATATTGTAAAACTTCACTTAAAAGCCTCGTCCCAATTAAACGCCTAGTCCTTTTTACTGGCCTGGTGTGGCTACATATTTTGACAAATAAAAGCCTGTCTCAATCAGAGGCCTGGTCTGGTTGCTAAGCAGTTCTTTCTTTTCTTCCTATGTATAAAACCAGGTTGCTGGCCACCTCAAATTATGTGTCCATTCCTCGATTACGCTGAAAGTTATTCATACTCCTTTAGTCGGCAAGGGTCCTCAGATCACGATTGATATATTACCTAAAGCCTAATTTTTAGGCAAGTATTATTCATACTGCTTTAAATAAACAATTTGATTGTGTTTCCTATCTTTACTGAGCAACAGTTTTGAGTAAAAGGAATTAAAGGCCTGTCCCATATAGACGCCTGTCCCAAATATACACGTATAAACGTACAATCCGAATATTTTTACTGGTGATTTGGTTGTTAAAAGGAGCCAACAGGAAGGAAAAGGAAGCTATGAAAGACGCAGATACAAAGCTGAAAAAAAGCATATTTAGTGAATATGGCGTCAGCTTTCACTTTTGCTGGTGAGACTGTTTACAGTCAGCAGCTGACAATTCATGCATCATATAGCTTTAACGTTTTCTATTATGATATTTCCACACCTACTTTCACTATGTGTGAATTTGTGCTGTTATACAATAAATAAAAGTGAAAGTATATCATTTTCTTGGAGGTGAAAACACAAGAGGGGTGCACCTAAAAAAAGCAAATATGGAATATCTCATACATTTCAGAGGGGAGGGGCCTTTGCATATTGCACATTCAGACTTGTCCATGGTTTGATTTTCTAACATCACTGACATGCGTGAGAAACACAATGCTGTGAAGATCCACAGATCAAGTTCACTGAGTCAAGCAAAACAAACACATGGCTTGGGAGATAGACAAAGAAGGAGGTTCTTGGGTGTGCCATGGCCCTTGTCTAAAGCGGTTATGGGGCCCACATGGGCGTTCTGCTCTCCGGAGGCTGTTGGGGTAATTATCTGCCAGGGTGCACGTGTGGGAGTGAGTTTCACAGCAACTGCGTCCCTGTGCTCGTGTGTGAGGTGCATGTGGGATTTCAGCGCTGGATGTTTCTGAGCATCCCATCCAGCATCCTGATGCTGTAGCCCCAAACAGGATGAAATGCATGTTCACTCAAGCCTATATACTTCTTCATGCTTTTGTGATCTATATGTGTCCCCTACACACAGATAAACACACACACACACACACACACACACACACACACACACTTTATTATTTCCACCATTTCCTTCTACCTAAAGTTGAGAAAGGGGATCTGGGAGTCTCAGAGGAGGAGCGTGGCTGGGGAAGAGGCTGAGGAGCCATCTTTGACATGGGGCATTGGGTCCGACGGCACAAAGCCCCATTCCCTGCTCCTCCATGTGGAAAATGGCAGGAGAGCAAGAGGAGGAGGGGAAGGAGGCAAAAAAAAAGTGGAGGAAAGAGGAGGAGGGAGCGAGGGAGCGACAATTAGTGGGATCTGCTAATCACCAGGGCAACACTCATTTAATTGACATGTGAAATTTTAATTCATCTAACAAGCCGATAGGCTGTACGACAATGGACCAGTCGTCTAAAGGTCTGATGGTGGAAGCCAAGGAGGGGAAGCGGCAGCTGAGGGCCGAGACCAAGCTCTTTGTTACAAGTAGCAGTGTTGTTAGATGTGAAGGTTGTCCACAAGGAGATTATAAGCCATTATGCCTTTGACCCTTTGGGATAAGTAACTCCACGGCTGCCCTTAAACACTCACGCACAGCAGACACACACCATAGCAAGGGTTGTTTATGTGTGTAGTTCTTGTTTTTATTTTCAGCAGAAGGCAGAGTGAGTAAACAAGTATTTTTATACCACAATAAATCTGACCCTGATAATTCCAATGGCTTGGAAGAGAAAAAACACAAAAGGAGGTGGGCAGCGAAGAAAACCCTGCAGTCTGTCCATTCCTGCTCCTGCAGAAATCAATAAGCTATTTAAGGTCATCAGAAAGCAGCATCACTGTCATCCAGCTGCTACTGAAGGAAAAGGCATACAAATGCTCACTGCTGCCTCAAGAAGCAACTTGGAAAAGATTCAAACCTTTATCCAGTTTATTTATTCAGGATATTACAGAAAATATTTTAGAAAATTGTTTTTAGTCTCATCAGCAATGTAACACTACAGGTCAGCACTGATGTTCAGTCACCACTTTGCCCTATAGTTCAAGAGGCAAAGCAGAAAAGGTGTAAGCCATTCCTATGTCAGTGTTTCCTGTTTCAAGTGACAGAACAACAGAAGGAATACAATACTTTTAAGAAAAGGCCCTTTAAAGGAACAGTTCACCCCAAAATCAAAAACATTTTCCCCTCTTACCTGTAGTGCTATTTATCAGTCTAGATTGTTTTGGTGTGAGTTGCCGAGTGTTGGAGATATCAGCCGTAGAGATGTCTGCCTTGTCTCAAATATAATGGAACTAGATGGCACTCGGTTGTGGTGCTCAAATCGCCAAAGGAAAACAAAATTGGAAAAACTCACATCAATGTCTCTTTCCAGAAATCATGACCAGGTTACTTAAGATAATCTACAGACCTTGTTGTGAGCTGTTTCATGTAGGAACTATTTTCTGTCTATCAAACTACATCCACCAACCGTAGACGAGAGGCTCGTGCTCCTGACAATGTGAAATGTAAATATTAGCTGTAAAGTTAGCTCCTTGGTGCTGGGTGAGCTAGCAGTAGATGCACGCTTCCTTCTGCCCAGTGATATAGTTGATGGGTGCAGTTCAGGAAAAAGAAAATAGTTCCTTCATGAAACTGCTCACAACAAGGTCTGTGGATTATCTTGAGTAACCAGGTCATAATTTCTGGAAAGAGACATTGCTGTTGAGTTTTTTAGATTAATTTTTTGGCACTTTCAGCACCATAAAAACCGACTGCCATCATGTTCCACTATATTGGAGAGAAGGCAGACATCTCTAAAGCCGATATCTCCAACACTTGGTAACTCACAACAAAACAATCCAGAGCAATGGTTCCCACCTTGAACCAGCCATGGGGTCCAGATCTCTCCTTAGACATTAGTTTAAGGTCCACAAAGTCTTATATATTAAGCATCATACTTGCGTTGGGCCATGTCGACCAGCTAGTTTGCTGTCTCTTTAAAGTAGCTGTCTGTTATTTACTCACCCTACAGCAGGAAACACTTCAGAATAAAAGCTTGTGCCAGAAATTCACTGTGGCATGGTCGTGAGTCACTTGCGGCCCATTCAGAATGGACCCATGACCCACTTTTGGACTGTGACCCACCAGTTGGGAACCACTGATCTAGACTAACATATAGCACTACAGGTAAGAGTAAAACATAGGCTATTTTTTGATTTTGGGGTGAACTGTCCCTTTAAGTTATGACCCTCACCCCACTGGACATACCAATTAACAAATTAATTAACTCAATTAACAGCATTTTATTGGCTTTTTAATAAAAACGATTAGTTAATTATCACCAAACCACACTAAACATCAGAACAAATACTCAAAAACTAGCATTTCCTCAAAATACATCACAGCCACCCCTCCGCCTGTAGCACAGTTGGTGCACTCCCCCAGGAACACCTCCATAAAAGGAGTCAGAATAGGCTGGCACAGGTTTGGCACTTCCTGGATGTAAAACAGCATGTTTAAGTGCTGCCTAACGGAGAGGTAAGACAAACAAACATGCTGATTAAATAAAGATGTTAGAATTTCCCAAAGTTGTGGGATGTTTCCTGTTGGACATAGTGCAAACATGTCCACAACAAACAAGACTAACACTGTTGCCAGCAGCAGGCCTCAAACAGTCACTATCAGTAGCCATTAGCAAGTAGCTCACTACCTGGACACTTTAAAGTCGGGTAGATGGCTTGGAAAGTGGCTCTTGTGGACAAGAGTAAGTGTCTTACTCAGATTAGAGCACAGGGGGTGAGAGTTTACTACAACCTTGGTCACATTTTTTGTAGTTGCAACCTTAATTCTTTTTGGTAATAACCACAAGGCACACAAGCTGTCACGTTTTAAACCAATTATCAGATTAGCCAAAACTTATTTGGGAGACAGAGCAAAGGTGAAACAGCCCATCACAGTTTACCGACAGACTTCCATGTTCAATTTGCACTGGCACTCATAGTTCTCCTGTGCAACATTTTGTGTGTGTTCACCTTTGATTTTGTCTTTTAGACAGCCTGATAGTCTGACTGTTCTTGCTCTGGGACACTTTGTTGTAGTTAATTTGCTGTATTTCCAAAATTCAGCAATGACTTTGAGTACTCCAGTGTTATGCTGACTAATAAAATTGATGGCCAAAGCCATGCAAATAAGACCTGAGCTGTAAAATTAACCCTTTAAGGTGAAACTCACTCCATTTTTTTTCGTCCTTCACAGACACTGATTGTCTCCCTGCGGCACAGCTACAAGTAGCATCGACCCAGCCCTCTATAACACTGGTGAGTCCTGTCAACACTGAAGACTGACCCCATCATGGGCAAATGTTTCCAGGGTGTCTACAGGTCCTTAAAGAGCCTAAAAATGTCTTAAATTCAATTTTACATGGGCCATTAAAGGTCATTAAATAATCTTATATTGCCACAAAGATTTCATCTAATTTAATTTATCCATTTGTTAATTTCTTTTTCTCAAAATGGGTCGAGCTCTTTTGTCCACAAGTCCACATTTCTGATGTTGCAACTCTTTAAACCTACCACTGAACCTAATAATGTCTTTCTACTTTGACAAAATGTAGATTAAACTCACTCTAATGACCAAATTCCTACATAAAACCTAACTCTGCATAGGACCACATAGTATATGCTTCTTGCATTTATATTTACCTGCAATGCTTGAGAAAGGAAAAAGTTGATTTGCCTAAAAACAGTCTGAATTTGGTTTAAAATGATCTTTAAAAGGTCTTAGAAAACACTAAATTTAGGTGTCTGAAACCTGTAGACACCCTGATTTCCTTATTTCCCCATGCACATGCTCAGTGAACCCTGCCAACTCTGCTCATCTGCCTATTCTGTAACTCTTTATGTTTGCTTTGGGACATTCAAACAGCCTCCACAGCTCCACAGCGCACCTCTCAAATGTACTTGTGTGTGTGTTTGATCCATCGCTCTGCTAGCAGATAGTTCCATTGTCAGAGGTGACTTTGTAGAAGTGGCACAGAGTCAGAGGAGACTTCCAAGTCTTTCAGCCAGTGTAATCCTCTTCCTTTATCTCTCTGGCTGATCTGGGCCAAAGCTCTCTGTGTGTGAGAATGATTCAATGACTGCCTGCCTGCTTTTCTGAAGCCCTCAGTCACGTTTTCTCTCCCTCTCTTGCTGTCTCTCTCTTGTTCTCTAATTCTCACAAGTTGTACGCCTATTGTTCTGCCATCTTGCAGAGTGACCTGAGCTTTTTCAGCATTCACCTCCTCTTTGTTTTGCATATGTAGGCAACAATGATGGCTGATATAAAGAGATTTTTTTGTATGATAGAAGATCATCCCTTTCACACACACACAAAGACGCCACCAGACAGGCAACTTGGATTATGTCCAAGAATCACAGCTGGATTTATGTGTGTGCATGTGTGTTTACTGTAGATATGTGTGCGTTTTCATGGGGGGTCGGGGTGTGGGCTGCATCTGGGGCATCTGATTGGCCCACTTGCACCGGAGCCAGGCAAGATGCTGATTGGATAGATATATGGAGACTAGCATGCAGGTTTCTGTGTGCCATGTAGCCGTGCCTCGTGGAGCGCTGGCCAATAGCTCCACATATTGGATGCATTACAGATTAGAGCCGATGCAACTGTGTGCGCACAAATGTGTGTGTGTGTGTCTGTGTGCGAGTTTGTGTGTCTGCACAGCTCATCTGTGCAAGAGCACTTTTATCCTCTGTGAACAAATCTGCACTGTCTCCGTTCACCGAAGTGATCACGAAATGCATTTGCCTCTCCCAGACTAATCATTAATTATTAACGGCAGATTTGACTCGGCATCCCAGATCGATGCAGTAGCTACCCACCGCTAGACGATTAAGACTGCTCTTAAATACATTTTCAAACAATCAAGCTGTATTGATAATACCTCATGTTAACGGCAGATGATTACTACAAGATTCACTACAAAGTTTGTGAGCTCATCCAGCTCAAAGTGAGCCATCTTAACTCAAAGTTTCAACATCATGTGCACAGTTAGATAAGAAGAGATTAAATGATGCAGGATTTTAAGATATCTTGAAATCTGTGCAGGAATTGATCAAGGGTCAAGGGTTACAGTACCTCCAGCTTTGATGTCCCAAACTCAGAAATCTGTGATAAAAGCTAACCCGTATTTACTGTTGTTTTTTGTCTGCAACAGTTGTCATGGCGTACTTCTTTGATTGAATAATATATCAAAGTACGGGACTATTTCATACTTTTACCAAATTATATTCCATTTTACCTTCGCCGCCATCAAAGAGATTCAACATCAGTGCGAAAACATAAAGTGAAATTACTAAAACCCCAATCCACAACCTGCAGACAGAGCCTCTTCAACCACACTGTGGATGAGTCTATGTGGCTGATTCCAGATCAGGACTTTGAAGGGATACTTTGGTGATTGTCAGCCAACTTTGTACCATAACAGTGTGGGTAGTATGTGTAAAGCCCCGTTTTCACCGAGCAGTACGGTGCGGATCAGTTCAGTTCGGTACACTTTTTTTCTTTTAGATGGTACCAATGGAATCCTCACTCGGAGGAAAAAGGAACACGGTGCAAGGTGCACCTCTGTGTCACCAGTAATGAGGAAATACAGCGAGTGCTGGATGGAGCAGTGAGTGACAACAACCCCACCAACATTTAAGAGTACTGTTTGCGGTGGAAACGCCAGACTACAGATTGTACATCCGTATTTCCATGCCCTCCACCACAAACACAAAAGTATAGAAGCAGAAGCTCTCTCTCACTCACTCAAGATGTTTACATGCACGCAGTAGTGGAGCTAAAATTAAAGCTCGGCTAATCAGTCAAGTCAGACTTCTTGTCTTGTCTGAGTATACATGCAGAGGAGAAAATCTAATTTCTGACCAAGTACGTCTCACTCTGCCTCGATAGGCGCGCTGTGTCCTTTTTGATATAGTGCTTATTGAACTAGTTCTTGTTCAGAAACGTTTTTTAAATAAATCTGTGTGTCGCGTTTTCCTACCATGCATTGACTTCAATATGTTTAGCTCCTTTAGCTGTCGGAGCCAGAATGTAATTTCCTCGTCCGTTCAGAAGTGCGTCCTCTGCTTCTCGGTCGCCATGGTGTTTGTTTGTTTTACTGGGAGTTACCGCACTTCAGTTTGATTTTTTAATCGAATTATCTAGGTGTGTTAGTCGAGCCACTGATAGTCCAGTTTCAGTCGGACTAAGCTGTTTACATGTATTTAGCAGTTCCGTCAGTCGGACTAAGCCAGTAATTCAGTTTTCTCAAGCTACATGTCAACGTACTGACCAAGACCAAACTCCCATCACACGGTAAAAATAGGCAGTGATGATCAAATATGAACCAAGACTCTGTCACTGTTTTGCCTATACTAAATATTCTTACTTAAAATGTCTCCAGAAACATATTTTAGTTCACTGTTTAACTGACATCCAAGATCGTTTGTTATCAGTTGGCCACCATATTGTTTACTGTGTGAAAGCGGCCAGGCTCACATGTCACTCACCATTAGAAGCATTTATTGGTCCACTGAGGTGCAGTGCATTCTGGTAGCTGTAGGTTTGCTACCTCTTAGGCAAAAGCATATGCCACAGCCCTTTTCCTCTTTTGTCTCTTGTCATGTAGCACCAATTTCAAAACCATTTGTGTCTCTCTACTGCATAGACAGCCCAGTTTTGTGAAAAGACCATTTTTCCAGCAGTGAAATACTTAAAGAGAAAAAACCTTGGCTTCATTCTTGATGATGGTAAAACTATAGCTTTAAGAAGCTCATCAAGCCTTAAGTTGAATCCTGATAAATTGAGTCACCTCTTCACTTCTGTTCACACCTTCTATGGACTTTTTAACCTGACAACAGATGAGGCGAAAAGAAAGAAGTAGATATAAGAGCAGGAAGAGAGGGAAAGGCGAGAGGGAAAAGTAAGAATAGCACACAGAGAGGAGAGAAGGAGACGTGAGGAGTGCTGAAAACAGTAGCTTCCGCTCCTCTCCGTGACAGAGTCTGGCCTATTAGAGGTCCCAACTCTGTCATTACACTTGTCAACACCATCCGCTGTAATTGATGCAAGTGCAGGGCTGAACCACCGAGGCTTACCAAATACACGAGACGCGAACACACGCATGGAAAAATAAATAAAATGTGATCATACACACGCACACATACTTCCCATATGGACACGCAGAAACAGAATAACAGACACACATACATATTCACACACAAAAAACGGTCGCACCAGCAGCACGGGCTGCACATGCCACACGGTAGGACACACACACACACATGCACACACATACATACACAGCACTGCTTATTGAAAACATGGCAGCACTGTCAACCCCAGACGGCTCTTCTCTGCCCACCTGTCAAAAAAAATCGAGAGGAGAATTCACCTGGCTGGTATCTCAATCTTCTTCGGCGCTTAGCTTAGCTTAGACCAACCATCTGGCTCAGCAGCTCTGCCTCCCTCCCTCCCTCTTTACTAACTCTCACTCTCTCTTAGTCTTTTTAAAGCATGTCAGCAGTTACCCAGCACAGCGGTCTTAGCGAGGCTGCTAACGTGGCTAAGTGTCCCTGGGCCTCTCAGTTAGTGGTGCCGTCTTTCTTTATATGTGTGTGCGCGCGTGTGTGTGCTTCACAGATGGCAACGGGAGGGGAGGGGGAGTTGGAGGGGGTGATGGAGAGAGCTGTCTGAGGCTCCGGCAGCTCTCGTGTCTCTCAGGCAAGGCGGTCTGTCTGTGGGCATCTGCACTGGCAGCACCCCCCCCAC